GGCCCGCGTGTGCATGGCAGGGATGCTGCCGGCCGCGGGCAGCGAAGGGCCGGCCCCTCCTGGCGCCGGGGCCCTTGTGTTTGCACCTCAGGGGAAACTGAGGCAGGGGCAGAGCAGGATGCACGGCCCAAGGGAAGACTACAGCTTGCCTCCTTTTATCCCTCCTGCTGCGGCTTATCTCAGTCCCCAGCTCTCAGCCCTGGTCTTTTCCTGCTCCCGTGGGGTCCTGGTGCGTGTGCGGGAGGCTCGGTTTTTGGGGAAGCCCCCAACGCGGGCATCCTCCTGCATGACGTGGGGCTGGCAAACAGCCCTGGGGAGCGAAACACCCTGAGCCCTCCCCACTCGACCCTGGCCCCGGCCACAACGGTCCCTCTCCACCCTTGCAGAGCGACCTGGGCGGGAAGAAGATCCTGCAGCGCAAGTGGACGTCCTTCATGAAAGCCCGCCTGGTCTGCTACATCCCCTACTACGAGGTGCTGCGGAGCGTGTGCAGCCTGGACAGGGGCGGCTGGCCCAGCACCGTCTTCTACGCCGCCTTCACCCTCTCGGCCCAGTGGTGAGCAGGGCCTGGGGGCGAGGGGTGGTTTCTAAGCTTGGCTGGCGTCCCTGCGGCCGTGCAGGCGGTGCAAGGAGTTGACTAAAGCCCTCGCCGCAGCTCGGGAGCGGGGCGTTGCTGGGACAGGGCGGTGAAGAGCAGAGGATGGAGGGAAATGCTGGAGCGTCCCGGCTTCGCCCTCGTTAATCTGCGGGACTCCCCGCTGCAGGGTGCATCCCTGCTGCGCGTTTGCCCAGGGGCGCTGGAGAAGTTCGTGGAGATGTGTGGGACACTGGATGCGCAGATGGAGGCCGTGGCGGTGCATTAAGGGTAGATATGGTCTGCGTGTCTCACGCTGCGCTCTGTCCCCCAGGAGGACCATGGAGGCCTCGGCCGTGTGCCGCTACAGCATCTCCGAGGTGCAGCGAGCCTTCGAGGGCCCCTACATGGAGTACCAGGACTCGGCTCGCAAGTGGTCCCGCTATGACGGCAGGGTGCCC